GTGTGTGTGTGTGTGTGTGTGTGTGTGTGTGTGTGTGTGTGTGTGTGATCACACATGTGTCTCTGTGTGTGCATGTGTGTGTGTATGAATGTGTGTGTTTGATGTGTTGCGTGTGTTTGTGTTTTGTTTGTTTAATTTGTGTGCATACTTGTGCTCCTGTTTCTCTGGGGGCTAGAGACTGACTTTGTTATCTTCTTCTGTCATGCCCCCCCTTACCTCTAGTACTATATTTAAATTGATATGTATCTGTGTGATCTCTTCTTGGAGCAGTTAGACTAAGAGAGAGCCAAATTGTGAATGCTCCACTTGTCCCCTCTGTGGGCTGGGGCTTCTTTGGTCTCCATGGTGTGTGTGTCAGATCTGTCTGTATTGCCTGTGTGTGTTGTCTATCTGTGTGTCTCTGTGTAACAAAGGGACCAGCCTGCATTTACTGAACAACACAGAGACCTGGCACGGAAAAGGGACAAGGAATTATTTACAAAAATGTTTGACAGACTTTTTTTATTTTTTATTTTTCTTATTAGTTACATTTTGTTAACTCTGTGTCCCAGCTGTATCCCGCTCCTCATTCCCTCCCCAACCCCACACTCCCTCCCTGGTCTCCTCCCTGCCCCTTTCCAAGTCCACTGATGAGGGAGGACCTCCTCCCCTTTCATTTGACCCTGGTTTATCAGGTATCTTCAGGGCTGGCTGCAAAGTCCTCCTCTGTGGCCTAACAGGACTGCTCCTCCCCTGGGGTGGGGTGGGGAGGTTTGACAGACTTTTATTGGAGGATAAATTACTTTACTGACCATAGCTAACCCAGAAGACCATCCAGAATTCAACCTGTATCCATGTGTCACTTCCTCCATTTATGGGATATTTATTTTGTTTCAGGTTGCTTTCAACCTGTTTGTTGTTCTCAGCAAATGATAAACATGCATGCCCATGTGCACACACACACACACACACACACACACACACACACACACACACGCACGCACACCATACACATTATTTTGTGCCAAGGACATGGCCCAGAGCTATTGAACTATGCCTTTGGCTTAGAGTTAAAAGACTTAGAACATGGATACGAAGGCATGGTAAGGTTGGTTACATTGTTCTCTCAAAAGCAGATTAGACTTAGACATGCTGAGTACAATGTGAGATGGAAGGTTGAGCATATAGTCTTAGGTTATTTCAAGGTATATTGTTAACTTGGTAGCAAGGTCTGGAAACATTTCAATGTTTTTGAAGTCAGATAGTATGTTCAGAAGAATGTGTCACCTCACCTGTGTATATGGACATAGTGCCTGTGAGGTCAGAAGAAGGTGCTGGATCCCCTAGAGCTAGAGTTGTGGGTGTTTATGAGCCTCCTAATATGGTGTTAAGAATTGAACTTGGGTTCTCTGCAAGAACAGGACACACTTTTTTTTTTTTTTGTATTTTTAAAAATTTTTAATCAATTCATTAACTTTACATCTTGACTGCAATTTTTTCTCTCTCCTCTCCCAGGCTTTCTTCCCACCTCTTCTTCCCCATCCACTGGTCCCTTTCTCTTTAGAAAAGAAGAGGTTTCCTGTGGATATTAACCAGCTCTGGCATATGAAGTTATAGCAAGACTAGGAGCATCTTCCCCTGTTAAGGTTGGATGAGGCAGCCCAGTTAGGGGAAAGGGTCCCCAAGGCAGGCAACAGAGTCAGGGACAGCCCTACTCCTGCTGTTAGGAGTCCCACAGGAAGACCAAGCTACACACATGTAACATATATGCAGAGGGCCTCGGTCAGTCAGGCCACACTCTTAACCATTGAGTCTTCTCTCTAGCTCTTCCATCTTGTCTTTTGGGACAGGGTCTCTCACAGCCTGGAGTATCAGTTGAGCTAGACTGGTCACCCAGCAGGCCCCAGCAATCATTCTCCTGTCTCCACCTCCTCAGGAGTTGGATCCCTGATGTATGAAGTCATCTTCATCCCCCGTAAATTTTCTTATTCTTGAGAATTTAGTACTCATACACAATGAAATATGATTATACCTACTCCCATTCTTCCCCTCAAACTTCCACAGATTCCTCCTAATATGTTCCCCAAACAGCTTCATGTTTCATGACTTAAAAAAACCCTACTAAGTCCAGTTAGTATTTTCCATATATTCATGGTTGTGGGGCCATCCATTGGAGCATATCTCCAGAAAAGAATCTCTCTCTCTTTGTTAGAAAGTATCAACTGCCAATAAATCCTCAGTAAGAGGTGGGGCCTAGAGTCTTCTACCCAATGTATGCTAGAATTTGGTTGTCTTGATCTTGTTCAGGTACCAACAGCTGCCATGAGTTCATGAGTGTGATGGACATGTCATGTCGAGAAGTCAGCATTTCTCAGCACCCTCCTTCTCCAGTTCTTACCTTCTTTCTACCTTCTTTTCTATGGTGTTCCCTGACCCTTGGTGTGTTGATTGATGTAGGTGTCTGGTTTAGGACAAAGTGCCATGGTTTCTTTTTTGTTGTTGTTGTTATGCAGGGACTGTAAATCCAAACTTCGGACCTCATGTTACGTAACAAATTTACTGACTGGGTCATTTCCCAGCCCGATTTACCTTGCTTTTTTTTGTATCTCCATCACTAGGTTCGGGATGAATACATGAAGCTCATCACTAGGAAGACTGAGCCCAGCTCCTATTCCCGGACTTCAGGGATTTTACTGTCACCTATGCCATCTACTTCCAAAATGGTAAGGCCCAAAATGGTAGTGCTTTTTCCACTAGTGCTGAGTGGAAGGGGCACATCTGGCCAGCAATACTGAATACCCTATGTCACTCCTGTCGGCTGCTAAGTGTGCTCACTGCAAGGATTGCAGGATGTGGATAGTGGAGCCAGGATCCCTGGGTTTACGCCTCACCTTTACCACTTATTAACTGTGCAACCTAAACAGGGTGACATCCACAAATGCAAAACGAATATGCACGCTAAGGATTTTATTCTAGTCGATGACCAATGAGGCTGTCAGGGAGATAGTATTACTTCTTCAAAGGAATGTGATAATTTATATTCCCAAGTTCTGTGCCCAGCCAAGCTATTAATTTAATTAACAGGAGAGTGGATTAGGCAAAGAAGGTGTCTCAGCTGCTTTTGTTGTTGTTGTTGTTGTTGTTGCTGGGACACAACACCTGATAGAAACAGCTTAAGGAAGAAAGGGTTTATTTTGTGACAATTCCAGGGTACAGTCCATTATGGTGACGGTGTAATAGCAGCAGGGATCCTGGGACAGCTGGTCGCATGACATCACAGTAAGGAGTCAGAGAATGAATGCTGGTGCTTGGCTAACTTTCTCCTTTTCATTCAGTCCAGTCTCCCAGCCCATGGGACCGTACTGCAGCATGTAGCGTGGGTCGTCCATCTCTGCTAACATGACGGGGACGATCCCTTACAGGCCTGACTAGGGGCATATCTCCCAAGTGATTCTAGAACCTGTCAAGTTGACAGTCAGAGTTAACTGTTACAGACGGTAATTTATTCTGCCGTAAAGAAGAAAGTGGACTCATTTTTCAGAAACATGGTTAGAACTGGAGATCACCATGTTAAGTGAAATAACCTAGACACAGAAGTACAGATATCACATACTGTATGTCATCATATAGAATTCATGTCAATAAGTGATGTGAAAGTAGAAGTGTAATCATTTGGGAGGAGAAAGAGGATCATTGGGAACAGAAAGTGTTGACGACAGGATAGCAGGGTCAATGTGATAAAAGTGGATGATGTGTGTACATGAAAATGTTACAGAGAAACACATCATTTTGTTTAAAACACAAATAAAGTGGCAAATAAAATATATGTTAATGTGTCTGTATATATACATACAGTATTTAAATTATTTTGCATCGATTTTTGCTTTAACATTACCTCATGCTGTGACTTACTATTCACTCAGTGCATAGCAAATATTTGATCACATGGGTCTGTCTTAGTTTCACTCCCTGTGGTTGTGACAGCCTACCTTGTCAAAACAACTTAATGGAGGAAGAGTTTATCTTACCTCACAGTCACAGAGAACAGCTCATCATCAGGGGACTCATGGCAGTAGGCGCTTGAGAGCAACAAGTTAAAGTTCTCAGTACTCTCTGTACGTTCATACGCAGTTTAGAATCACCTTTCTAGGGACTGGCGCCACCCAAGATGAGTGGGTATTCCCACATCAGTCAGTGCAATCGAGACACACCTATAGGCCAATCTGATCTGACAGTCCCACACTGAGACACTCTTCCCAGGCGAGTCCAGAGTGTGTCGGGTTGACAGGTAAAAGTAACTGTCACATCTGCCACATTCCTTAGTGCTGTACCACTGGTAAATTGCCTGTGCTCCAGTACATTACCAAACCCACAAACATGCTCACACAAGTAGCTAGTTCAACTCAGTGAGTCACAAAGAACAACCATGTTTAGCATTTCAGTGTTCATGCTTGTAGTCTGTTTCTATGTTGATCTCCATGTACATGTGAGGCTGACACCTCATAGATAAAACTGGGTCATTTTTGGATAAATTCTGCATCTGACTAAGGTAATTCTCTCTTGTGTTTTCCAGGGTTAACATCTTTTCTTGCTTTAAATTGTACTATGGAACAACATTTTGAGGATTGTAAGTGCGTGCAGGAACCTACTTTTTAATCACTCTCTGGTTATGGAAATTTAGGGACTCATGAGTTGGGGAGAGTTTCTTGTTAACACAAAGCATGGACAGATGGAGCCTAATTCCAAGGGTTCCATATATCAAGGAGAAATACAAGTTACTTCCCTGCAGTAGTTTGAATTCTGTACGTTACACCTGTGAAGCTCCACAAGTCTTAAGAAGAGCATGTTCCATTTTTTTTTTTTTTTTGTGGCACAAGTGGCTACCACATTTCTGTCTCCTACATCCTTTGCTGTGGGGCTCCAGGCATTCTCATCCTGTCAAGTGCTGGGCACAGAACAGCTCTCAATAAATGATTTGTTGTCTGTCCGAGTGACTTATCTATCCTTTATTTACTCTTTGACAATTTCGTCCATGTATGCATTGATCATATCCACCCTAATTCTTCCACTCTTCTGGACAAACCCAGTGAGCCCCCCCCCCATTCCTGACATTCTATTTATCTTGTAACCAAATGAGTCCAGTGAGTGCTTCTTCTGGGATGTGGCCTGTTCTTGTTGATGTTGTGGCTTGATCATGTACAGCTGAAAGGGTTAGACTAACTTTGTAACCTGTATATCTTCTAAATCCTATAGTTTTGAGTTTTAGGTTCAGGTTAAGCTAAAGCCTCTTAGTACCTTTCCAGAGAATGAAAAAATGTGACCCTATCTGTGAGGACAGATATAAAAAAAGTGAGCAAGTAATGACCTTCACTTAGCAAAAAGAACGACCAGACCCTTGTCTTTGAGATATAATGTTTCTTAGCAACCAACCCAGACGGCCCCAATTCTTCTGAGTAGCTCCTGACTTCCAGCCAAGAGCTCACAACCCTAATTTTCAAGGATGAGCTAACCACCCCCACCTTCAATTGCAGTTGTATCGACACTTGGTGGGACTGGCCAAGCTTGAGCACCTAAGACTAACCAATTATCTTTATAGATTCCTCATCCAATCCTAAATTGCCAAAACTGCAACTTCAAATTTCCCACAATTTTTCTTTTAAAAATACCTTTGTCTCCTGGTGCCACTCTTTGCTGACCTGCAGGGGTGACCCCATTGTGCAATGGTTAAATTAAACCTCTTGCTTTTGCATCGAGTCATGGTCTGTGGGAGTTTCTGGGAAGGGCACGATCTTGAACTCCTGAGCTGTGAGACCCCAGGTCTTACACAGTAACCACAGCTGCAGTGAATTCATGATGCATTTATCATGACATGCCCAGAAGACATCATTTCACATGTCTTCTTCTCTCCTCCAGCTTATACACTTCTTCTATCTCCTCTTTTATGATGTTCTGTGAATTGGGGGTTTTACATAATTGTCTTTGTAAGGCAAAGCATTAAGTAGTCATTTATTCTCAGCACTTGAACAAGTTATGAGTCTCTGCATCTTCCTGGTTAAAAAGAAAAGATCAGTAAATCATTGGGGATGGCAAGCAAGCAACATCACACAAAGAGTGGGACAAGTGTGGCACAAACACTGAAAAGTCACAGAGATCGCCTAGTGAGAGCATCTGATGGCATATAATTTTATCTTTTCCTGAAGAGTCCAGGCACTCAGTGACAACAACACCTATTGGAGAAATGCTTCTGCTTTACTGTTTGCTTGTTTATTTTTTCCAGATAACTGGTGAAATGTTACCTGTTTGGGGTTCAAGGGAACCGTTTGATGGATTGTTCTTTGGGCAAGAGGTTTATTAGAAAAGGCTGCATGTCGAAGCTCACAGCCAACATCATGCTAAATGGACTAAACATGAAATCATCCTCTCTAAGATGGGGGATAACAAGGTTGTCCACTCTTTCTGTTCTTCAGTATTGTGCTTAAAGTCTTAGAAAGAACTGTAAGACAAGAGAAGAAGATAAAGGGGGTTAGGAAAAGAAGTAAAAACATTTCTATTTTTATATGATAAGGGTTAGTACACAAGAGATTCCAAAATCCACCAAAAATCTTTTAAAGCTGATAGACACTTTCAGCAAAGTAGCAGGATACAAAATCAACACACACAAACCAGTAGCCTTCCTATATAACAATGACAAACACACTGGACAAAATATCATGGGATTAAGGAACAAAATATTTGAAAAAAGATTTTTTAGGCACTATTGATGCTGTAGACAGACAGACACCAGCACAGCGGGGGTCTAAGGAGAATTCAGGTGGTCCTTGATACGATTCAGATGATTCAGAGATTCTACAACATGTGGCTGATGACTGGCTGTAGCCATAGAATGTGCTTGCACTCAGACCATTGGGTCAGATATGAGGATGGGAGGGCAAGCTTTATATCTCACTTATGATTCTAGAAACTTATCCATGACGTGGGCAGGATTGTTCCAATATTTTTCAAGTGTTCGAAGGTGTGAAGAAGGTGAAAATGTAAATGTAGTTATTTATTTTAAATCAAGCACACAGAAACCAAAGAAACCCACGAAGAAAGAGGTCTCCTCATATCCACACACACTCTGCTAGCTTCCTCCTAAGCTTGAAGCTGCAAGAGTATCAGAGAAGGCTTGCTGGCAAAACAATCCACGTTGTTGCACGGTCCCAGTGGCTTCATGTACAAACAGATGTTGAATTCATCACTATTTTGGAATGTTCTTGGGTTTGTAATATTGATTGTAGAATTTGTCGTTAGCACCAGAGAGGGGTGAGATTGAATACCAGTGATGCAAACTGTCCTGTATTGCTGCTTCTTGACTGTCTTGATGGAGTGGACCCTGTGAAACAGTTGCCCCTGATGCCTGAGAGATGTGAGAACCACAGAAGGCAAGAGGGTGTCCCTTCTCTCCAGCCCTGTTCAATATAGTGATCATATACATTCATAGACATGCTCATCATTTCATGTGTGTGTTTATATGTGTGCATGGCCATAGTACATGCAAGAGACCAGATATGGATCATCAGACATAATGAAGGCAAATTTTACAAACAAGACAACAGACTGACTGAGAGTTGAAGGGAAGGTGAGAGTCAAACTCGACACACTGGACTATCAGCCAAAAGAAGAGAAGAAGAAAGAGTTCTGCAAGCAAACACCAAAGCATTCACATGGGAGATTTGAATGGGGTTTAAAGACTAACCATCAGAAGTTGTTAGCATACTTGATGGTCATGGCTTGTGTACCCAGTGAGGTACACCACCTGTCCTCAATAAACCGAGTACATTGAAATTTTATTGACCCAAATTAAGAGTGGCAAGCATAGAAAGAAGAATCATTCAGTGTGGCCACACCAAGAAGAATGATACAGAGATACGGGGACCCTCCAAGTCTGTATTTGTGGTTCTGAAGTTATAGCTGGTTTTACATAAATGAAAATTTTAAAGAGATACACGTGTCAATATATCTCAACTACTGAAACACTGAGCACCAAAGAAATGGGTTCCAGGAATTCTCTGCTGGAAGAAGAACAAGGTGCAGACAGGCATGAGGCATTTGGGAAAGAGACTCCACCTAGATTTAACAACTTGTAAGACAGCCTTTCAGGATGAGCCTGAAGCACAGACAGAAGTGGGTGAGTGGTGGATGGAACCACACCCGACGTTTGAGTGCTTAGATGTACAAATCCTTGGCTCAGTTTAAACCTTAACCTCACTTGAGAACTCCTAAGATGAACTTCTGGGTATCTGTGGGTCTCTTTATCCTCTTTCTAATGTGGCCGCATTGGATAGATGCCATTTTTCTGCTTTTCAGTTTTAATATGGATCTTTAACATGGCTTGAGGATGGGTGGCTGGACCTGATCGGTGGTCAACAGCCTCTCAGTGGCTAAAAGAAGAATGAGTCTTCTTCACCAGCAGCTGTTAACTGCCCAAAGCCTCTCAAAAGCTCCTCCCCCAGATGCCCAGCCACATAGTTACTTTTCCTGTGTTCTTTTTAAATTAACATCGTCTTTACTTACACAATGCACACTCACCACTCTCCCTGCAGCTTCCTACTGCTCAGGTCCCCGCCCTTCATCTGCACATTCAGCAGGGTTTTGAAATGTGGAGCTACAGCCCAAGGGATCCCAGACCTACATGCCCCACCTTCCATTCTTACGCCTTTTACTACCCAGCAGGTGTCTTTCCCCATATTTGCACAACCCTCTGCATCCTGAGTATAAGGAGACCCCACACCCCACACTCAGTGCACACCCCCCTCCGTAGCCTGTGTGCATTCTAGAACCCAATATTCAGAGGCTCTTTCTTTTTTTCAAAAGAAACTCGGCTTTTGGGGGATGGCCTAAGCAGGGTTGACACATGAAGCACTCCAGCTGTTTCTTCCTGTCATGTGAAAATAAGCAAAGGCAGGAATCCAGCGTTAGAGATGGAAACATGGATCATCAGAGGACACTGATAGACTGAGATGAAGGAGGAGGAAACCGGAGCATGTTCTACACCAGAGCACACCTCTGAGTTGTGTGTTCTTACGGAAACCGACCTGGGATGTCTGGATTCAGGTTTCTATTGGTCCTCCAGTCAGTGGGGAACACTCACACTTGAAGAAACTTTGCAGTTGTGAGTTATGTGCATGCACTGATGTCCTAGGCTTCAGGGGACCCAGATACATGAGGCTGATCCTTTCCTTTTTTGGACACTGAGGTACACAGTACCATGTGTGTCTGGAGAAGTCTTGACAGGCACAGGCCCATTTATTACCCTTTCGCTTTACATCCCATTTTGAGTCCTCAGACACAATCCAATTTCATCATGCCAAACAGGGTTTGTGCCAGTGACTTACAGACAACATTTTGACAGCCAAATACCCAAGAGTACTTGAGTCCATGGTTTTCCTTTGTCTGGGCTTGGATAACATCATGGAACCTGGGGCTGGAAAGGTTGACTCTCAGACATCATTTATTCAATTGTGTTTGTTGCATGGACAGAAGATCCCCAGATGCAGGACTTGAGGGTTGAAAGGGTTGAAGAAATTTTCAAGGGAGTGGGGAAAGCTGGGGGGAAATAAACAGGACTGAGAAGTCTCTTAACCTGAAGCATGGAGACACGACTATACACATCCACCTTGGGTAGGTGTGCATCTGGCCGACGCTGCACGTTTTTCATTCTGTTTGGGCTCAACACTTTACAACACATTTAAAATGTTCACATTTGTTTATGTCTTTTTATCTAGAAAGTTCTTATCATTTTGTGCAACTTGATTGAGCTCCACCTGCCCTTTGGGAAGGGCTGAGACATACCATGACAGAGCGAACAGCACATCGCTACCTATGTATACATATCAGACGTGGTCACATGCTGACCGGCCTCGGGGCAGAATTGCTTTTCAGCACTAA